ACTCATCTCCCTTGCCTTCTCTTCATGAGTTAGCTAAAGTGTTGGCTTCTGTGTCATTTAGAGCAAACAAAACCTATAGAAATATGTTTTAAAAGACAGATGCACAGATTTGGGATGGGAAGCAAATGTTGGATGCTCACTCAATGCCTCGTAAAGGCTTTAATTTACAGCAAAAATAAAAAGGAGTTGTTCAATACACAGTGTGAGGAGTCAGCTTTGGAAACTGATAAGAAAAATGCCAGACTCATTTTGAATTTGAACTTAACAACCAGAACCCTTATTTCTTCATAGCAAAATGATGGCTACTTTCTTGGACTGATTTAAGAATTTCCCAGAGACATTTCGCCTGGGCTCCTTTGTAGACCGATTTCTGCAGGCTTTAGAATACCCCTTGCAGGGCTTATCAGAGAAGATTCCAATTTAGAGCAGCAAAAGTTTAGTGTCTGGTATCAGCTCTTGCTTTTTTCTTTTTTTTTTTTTTTTATTAAAGGAGACACGATGTTTTACAGTGTTAACAGCTTTGAAAGGTCTTATATTTCCAGTGAACAGAGCACTTTTGTGAAAAGGGCTCTGAAAAGTATTATTCAGGCAAAAATGTATCAAAGCGATGGGAGTTAAAAAGAGAAAAGTTTGCTGATGTAGAGATTGGAGGAAGCATGTACTGACAGGTGCAATTATGGCCAAATAATTGAATCTTTTAGGAGAGATCTGGTGAGATAAGACAATAGTTATGAACTCACATCAGAAACCTGTTCATAATTAGATACTCAGGGGTTTGGCTGTGAATAATACAGCCAAAGTGGGGATCTCAAACAACTTTATATGCAGGACACAGCAGCAGCGGCATTTGCACTTTGTAAAATAGAGTTTAATAGCATAATTTGAGCCCAGCAGACCTTAATTGGTACAGAGGTTAGAAAGAAGGCTTTGTGGTCCACATTCTCCCTCAGGCTCCCCATAGCCTGGAACCTCTCTCTGCCCCAAAGAGTGAAGGTCAATTCAGCTTCTAAGACCTCTGATCTCAGAGAATCTAAAAAAAAAAAAAAAAAAGTAAACTTTCAAAGCTAATGAATTGCTTTTATTAGTAATGTTAAAAATCTTCGCTCTTTGGTTGAAGAGTTTCCAGGCACTTCAATTTCCTTTGTCTACATGTGCCTTAGCCAAAGACAGTGGGATAGAGAACAATACAGGGTTTATTTCTGAGAATGTTTCACCAAAGACATACAATATAATAACCTTGTTCCTGGTCTTGAAATATAGGTGCTTAAAGCCTTGACCCCATGACATACTGCATCCACACTTTGTTCAGGAATCTGAAGGACAGTTCTTTCCCAGGGTCTCTGTGTAGAAATGGAGCTGAGAGGAGGACACTAGCTAGCAAAATATGGCATGGTCATTTCTACTTAGAGCAAAGGACATCTCTAAGGTTCCATTAATAATTCTGCTAAACAGCTCACATCAGGCTTTCATTCTTAATGAAACAATATAACTTACTCTGCTATATTGTATGATTTATTTCTTCCAAATTTATAATTTCTTTTATCCTCTTCAAAGTTAGATTACTTTGTCATTGTAATGCTGTTAAAGGTTCTTAAGTTGGCTAGTGAGTTATAGGTTTCTGATAATGACACCTTAACTTAATACTCAGGTGATAGCTCCTTTTTCTACCATGGAGAACTGACATTTGAATGTCTTTGGATCTCTAGCATTTTTCTTCCTTTTTCCTAACTGCTAACATTTCACCTTACCTTCTGCCAGTAAGCTTTCAGACTCCGTTAGTATCTAATTAGATAGAAGACTGTCTTTTGCATTGGCCTTCTTTAAGTATTTAACACATTCAAAAGTAAATTCCGTATTGCATCACGCATCTACCACTACTGTAGCCTTGACCTAGCCTATTCTCTTCTTACATTATGAAGCATTTAGCACAGTGCCTGGCTCGCAGTAAGCATTCACTATAATTGTTATTTTAATTTCTGTTCACCTCGTTTACTTCATCTTCAGTATTTTCTTGGAGTTTGACCTAGTGACTAATTTAAAATTATTGTTGACACATATTCTGCCTGGATCAGTGGGAGCTCTTTAGTATTAACATCATAAGCCACAATGGGGGTTTTCAGATTTTCCATGGTGGGTTGCTTGATCTTAAATCCAATATTCGTGCAGGCAATATTGCAAATTGGTCACAGGAATGAGTCTATAGGGTCCACTCCCAGCTTAGAAGAATTATACTTGTAACTGAATCAAATGCATAGGGAGAAGGAATTAGCTACCTCTCTACCTCCCAGCCACCACCTTTCATTCTTCTTTAGTACCATGATGCAATTTTAGTGGAATTAAACTTGAGCAGCTCTACATGATGTCATCACATTCAGGTGTAGTTTTAAGTACTAGTTGCTTGAAGCTTGCTAGGAGAGCTCATCAGTTATGACAGTGGATTTCAGCCCTGGCTGTGTCTTATTATCATCTGTAGAGAGTTAAAAAAAAAAAAAGCTCAGGTGTATCTCAGGGAGTCTGACTGAATTAGTCTTAGGCAGGGCCTAGCCATTCGGTATTTTTAAAAGGCCCTTCAAGTGATTTGGAAGGTCGAGAACCACTGAGTTGGAGGAAAAGAGACTTAGGAAATACTGACTACATTTTTGCTTGTGCTAGCTAACTTGGCCAAACTCTTTTCCTACAGCCTAAGCTATGTACACTGCAGCCCTTTTCTTACTTATACCATATCTACAAATTGAAACAACAGAGAGCAGAGAGTGTAGCTTTGGAGTTCAAAAAATTTCAGACCTTGTCTCTGAGCTGGGTGTAGTGGCTCATGCCTGTAATCCCAGGACTTTGGGAGGCCGAGGTGGGAAGATCACTTGAGATCAGGAGTTCAAGACCAGCCTGGGCAACATGGTAAGACCCCTCTACCCTCCCCAGTTTCTACAAAAAATTAGCCAGGTGTGGTGGCATGCACCTTTAGTCCTAACTACTCGAGGGGCTGAGGTGGGAGGATCAGTTGTGACAGGAGGTCCAGGCTGCAATGAGCTGTGATTGCTCCATTGCACTCTAGCCTGGGCAACAAAGAGGGGCCCTAATTAAAAAAAAAATTATCGCTGTCTCTTATTAAAAGTGTGGTAGCCTAGGAAAAGATTCTTAGATTTCTAAAATTTTAATTTCCTCAGTTTTAAATTGGAATAAAAAAGCTTCCCTTATTATTTATATTTATTATTCCTTTATGAAACACATAAGGAAAGATTCAGTTACCAATGTGACATGAAAACAATTAGCATAGTACCTAGTACATAGTAGGAGCTCAGCATATTCTCTCTCTCTTCTTTATTTTTCATTTCTTCATATGTAAAATGAAGGGCTTGGATTATATTTAAATACCCCTATACCCTAAAATCCAGTGAATTTGATTATTTGCCATAAGCAATGTGATTGAAGAATAACCACCTCATATTCCTTTTTATTTTTAATTTGTATTTTTATAAACTGTTAACTAAGTTCTTCCCAAAGTTAGTTCGGCCTATCCTTTTTTTTTTTTTTTTTTTTTAAACAAATTCAGTTCTGTTCATGTACAAAAAAGGAAGTTATTGACACAGTTGACATGGGACGAATTTGGAGTTTTTTTCAGCATCCTGTCCACTATTCTCAATTGGCTGCCCTTTCAACCTGCTGTCTATGAAGTAATTGGCCAAGGTTGGGGATTTGGTTTGAGTTGTGGGAATAAGATTTTTTGATAGAGTGATTGAGTGATGCTATCTGTTTTGTGTGGGCATCAATCTTGGCCCTTGACCATCATTCATTTACTTCAACCATGTGACTGTCCAACATAGTTTATACTTGTAATAATGGTAGCACCTGGTATTTGTATTATAGCACCTATTTGAAGTAATACATTTCAGAGGAGTACAAGTGAAATAAAAAATATCTTTTAATTACTACCTAGATAATTGGTGGGGTTTTTTGGTCAAGAATTTAAAATATTCCTGCATCTTAATCCATTCCCAGACAGCCATAGGGGAATTCATTCCATTACAGCTTGGTATTATCAAACAGTTCATTATTCATGGCAATGACTCAGGAAGGCACCAGCCTTGTGAAAAATACCTGTCTTTCACCCACTTACCTGGCTCCAAATGAAAGCTCAGGCAAATGAGAGAGGTTCCAGGCTTCTATTATTATTTAGTTCAGGCTAACCAAAGCAGAGAACTGGGAGATTCTTCTAATGTGTTATCACAAGAGAGTTGCTTATATTAGAGCTCAAATCATCTAGAGCTACTTTGATGATGATGATAATAGAATCTTCTTTTGTTACCCATTGCCTGGCAAAGTGTAACAGGATGGCAGTGCAACTTAAGGGTTAACAGCAAGAGTTTAAAAATCATGACAAACTGGATCCCAATTCTGCCTTCCCCACTATCTATAGGAAGAAACAGCAAATGTTTTCTATAAAGGGCCAGCTAGTAATTATTTTAGCCTTATGATCTTAGTCATAACTACTCAACTCTGTAGTGTGGTCAAAAGCAGCCACAGATAATACATAAATGAATGGGCATGGCTACGTTCCAACAAAACTAATTATTTTCAAATACAGGCAATGGACCAGATTTGGACCATGGCTGTTGTTTGCCTATCGTTGATCTATAGAATCTTGTGCTAACAAGTTATTTTAATTCTCTAAGATTGTTTTGAGGATAAAGGATATAATGCTACATGCATTATATTATTTTTATTACATATAAAAACACTGTGTACTTGGCATATGTAAGAGCTTGAAAGTAATAGTTGCTTTTATTTTATTAAAATATTATATATCGTATGTTTTAAGTGCTATTGATTATGAGATGCACTGGGATTTCAGACATATTAAAATGATTAAAAAATCCAAGCATTGATGAAATATAGTAACTAATTATGGTGACAAGGTCATATTTAGGATTTTAAGTCTTCTTCTATCAGTGGTAATTTAAAGCTTCTTATATAACATGTGTTTGTCATGCCTGTTTTGTCAGAGACACATGCCATGAACTCTTGGGACATGTTCCACTACTTGCGGATCCTAAGTTTGCTCAATTTTCACAAGAAATAGGTCTGGCGTCTCTGGGAGCATCAGATGAAGATGTTCAGAAACTAGCCACGGTGAGTTCATTTTCAACTTAAAAACAGTTTTATTTATGTCCATTTATAAGGTAAAGACAGCTTTAGGATTATTGACTATGAATTATAGGTAAATGTTCTAGAGAAAGTGTGGTGAACTTACCTTTTCCTATGTTGTATTCATTTGAAGCACAATGAATTCTGCTTATTGACCACCAAAACACATGTATTTTATCATTCTTGTTCAGGGGTCAGCTAGAGATAAAGGACTAGATAATAAACATATTAGGTTTGTGGGTCGTAAGGTCTCTGTCAGAATTACTCAGCGCAGCCACTGTGGTATGAAAGCAGCCCACAGACAACAAATAAGTAAATAAATGAGTGTGGCTGTGTCCCAATAAAACTTTATTTATAAAAGTTGGTGATGGGCCAGATTTGACCTGTGTATTGTGGTTCACTGACTCTCACAGAAATAGTAGTAATAGTAAAAGGTATACATTTATGGTAAAGTAGGAGTTGCACCTTAAACTATCTGATTATTCTAGATGGTTGTAGTCAGACATAATTTGAGTCAACAAGCAGTAAGGCACTTTGGCTCAACAATTATTTTAAGTACAAAATCAGGAAAAGATTTAATAGATGTTATACTATCTTCTTAAAACTGAAGTTCTGCAAACAAGCCAATATGAGAGGAGGGGTCTAATGTTGGCAGCTACCTTTAAGATGCTGAAGGGCCAGATTTAGCATGCTCGTATGCCTTATACTAGTTCCACTTCTAAGGGCCCAGGAAGAGAAAAAGCGGGTTCAGTCAACCCGTTGCCTATAGGGACCAGTCAGCCCAAGTGAGCAAAGCCACCAGGGGATGAAAAATGGGATCTTAAATTGTATGTATTGAGCACAGGTACACAACAGTGGCATATTGGATATGCAGGAATATTCTTCTTCACTTCCACCCAGAAATAAGTTTTTGCCTAGATTTCTTTAAAAAACACAGACCTGGCCAGGTGCAGTGGCTCATGCCTGTAATCCCAGCACTTCAGGAGGCTGAGGTGGGTGGATCACAAGGTCAAGAGATTAAGACCATCCTGGCCAACATGGTGAAATCCCGTCTCTACTAAATATACAAAAAGCTACTTGGGAGGCTGAGGCAGGAGAATCACTTAAAACTGGGAGGCGCAGGTTGCAGTGAGCTGAGAATTCACCACTGCCCTCCAGCCTGGCGACAGAGTGAGACTCTGTCTCAAAAAACAAAAAAACCAAAAAACCAGACCTTTCAGTATATCTTTTGTTTCCTACTTTTGATAAAGATATAGGAACTGGAAAGTATTTCTCAACTAAAAGATAAACAGCAATGCAGAAGCCATCTAAATGAAAAGGACCTCTGGGGTTGGTATGGAGATGAATAGGGTCTGGCGGGGACTGGGGTGGATGAGGGACAGCGTGTCTCTTGTATAGCATGTTCTCAGCTTCCGCTGATGGTTGTCAGATGAGATGTGGCCTTTGTGTTGTTAGAGATCTCCTAAATTTTTGAGAGAGACTGGCAATCTAGATTTCTAACTGAAATTTAATGATTTAAAAATTGTTGGCTTATTAAAAAAAAATCCCACCAGTATGAGCTGAAGAAAATATATTTGTAGACTGAATCTAGACCTTGACTTCCAATTTGTAACTTCTGGTATAAGGATTGTATCTCAGGTGTACTGGCTATCCATCACAATATAATAAATGATCTCAAAGCTTAGTGGCTTAAAGTTTCTATGGTTGGACATTTGAAAGCAGCTTAGCGGAGTGGTTCTGGCTCAGGGACTCTCAGGAGGCTGTAGTCAATATGCTGTCTGGGCCTGTAATTGTTTGGGAATTGGCTTCCGAGATGGCTCACTCATGTGGATATTGGCAGGAGGCCTTGGTTCCTCACCGTGTGGGCCTCTCTTCAGGCTATTTATAACATGGTCACTGGCTTCCTCCACAAGTGATGAAGAGAGTGAGAGCAAGAAGCTGTAATGTCTTTTGTGACTTGATCAGACGCTGTTCACATTGGCCATACACTATTCATAAGAAGGGGCTCATTTTAGCTCACTTTCAACTGGAGTGGAATTAGTTTTCACCATTTAGAAAAAGGATTGTCAAATTACTTGTGGATGTATTTTAAAACCACCATATCATGAGTTATTTAGTTCTTAAACCGTGGTTCTGGCTTTAAACTCCTTGTTTTGGAACCTTTTCTGTGCCTTTCAAACTTGCCTTGAAATTTTCTGGCTTCAGTCCCTACCATCTATACTCTTGATCACGGAGCAAGATAAATTGCTTACTTGTCTGACTTTAAATAACTGTAAACTGATACTCAATGGCCAGGCTGTGTGGAGCTGACAGGTGTGTGTGTGTGTGTGTGTGTGTGTGCGCGTGCATGCACGTGTGCCTGTAAACATGTGCATCCAAATAGAGAAGAAGGAAAACGGCAGGAGTTTATGGATGTAATTGTAGGTGGATCCTCTTGAGTGCTCTTAATCCTTTTTAAAAAGCAGTGACATGAATACCGTTTTATGGTCCTTTATTTTTACAGCCAATCAAATTATGACTAATTAATTCCATCATTCAACCTACATTTATAAGGAATATGACATGGTCCTCCTCACTTTCTGGAAATTTATAGCTTATATCGATAAAACAGATTTTTTAAGAGGATAGTTTATACTGAATCTCTACAGATGAGAAAAGATAGTCCAGTGGAGAAGAGTGAAAGCGGAAATAGAGGAACAGTCTCAGTTGGAACATTCTCTCTAGTTTGGCAGGGCTGTGTTCTTTCATGGGGGCTCTGGGGAATGATCTGTTTTGTTGCTTTTTCCACCTTCTTGAGGCTATCTGCATTCCTTGGCTCATGGCTTTCTTCATTCCTATTTAAAACCAGCAATGGTGCATCTCTTTGATCTTTTTTCTATCGTCACGTCTCTCTCACTGACCAAGACTGGGGAAGGTCCTTTGATTCTAAGGGCTTCTATGATTAGATTGGGCCCACCTGGATAATTCATGATAATCTTCCCACCTCAGTTTCTATGCCCATCATCAACATCTGCAAAGGTAACATAGTCACAGGTTCTGGGGATTAGGGCATCAAAATCTTTATGGGGTCATTATTTTTTGTTTCTACTTTTATACTTTTAGGAAAAAAATTATACTCATACCTTGAAATCTCTTTTACTAGGGCCAGCAAATTTGTAGGATGAGTAAGTTTTCTTTAGGGGCCTATATTCCTTAGGTTAATTTCAATATTCTTGGCCTGGGTTGCTTGAGCTCCAACAGCTAAAAACACTTCCGTCTAGTAGAGAACATTAGGCGATTAATCATGTTTCACCATCTCCTCTCTGTCTCTTTCTCTCTTTCTCTTTTATTGTCCTTTTGCTGAAATGCACCTGCTTTTTTGCAAAAGCCAATTTAAGCTAACAGGTATTCTTTAAGCGGCTAAAGGATCCTAGGTACTCTGAGGTGGGGATAGGGAAAAAAAGAGGTGGTAGTTTCTTCAAGAAACTCACAGTCTAGTACCACAAAATACAAAATACAAAAAACCCAGAGTCAGTATTATTTTGTATTTATATACATGAGTAGTTACATATGAGATATGGATTTAGCTGAATATTCCCCATGTGTGAATGAGTTCTGAATTCAGTGTTGGAGACTGGGCTTCAGAATAGGGGCCTGAAGAGAAGGTCTTCTCTGTATAGACGATGGGTAGGAAGGATCAAGTGTCCACCAAGGAGGCCAGCCTACCTGCCATCTTATGATGATTTTGACAGTTTTTTTTTTTAAAAAGTGTGAACTTGCAAAGGACTTAACATAAATGCTTTAAATGCAGTGAAGAATTTGGGATGGAGTGTGGGTGGGTGTTTGCCTCACCATGGGTTTGCCTGATTCACTCATTTCTCTTCTCTTGATATTTCTTGAGCTCCCACCCCAACACACTCTGACCTTCTGTATCTCATGAGCCTTCTAGTTCCGAATTTTCCCTCTTCTGTAGACTGCCCATTTACTTCAAATAGTGTTTTGCAGACCAAAGAGAAATTTGGAAGGATTTTTCTGTATGATGTGGAGGGTATGGCAGAGGATAGCCTCACGCAGTGTGAGGAGGCTAGGGGAGATTGTTCCTGAAATGATTCTAAAACTGCTGTTGACTTCAAGAGCCACATCCCACCCATCAGTTAAAAACAAAGTGAATAGAAAACTGCCAGAGATAGTCTTGGAAGAAAACACAGATTCCAACTAGGCAATTTCAAATAGGTCCTAGAATAAATAGCCTATTGGATACCATGCATATTAACGAACCTCAAACCATATACTGAAACTAGAAGGCAAATTTAATGACCCGCTTAAAGAAACAAAAAGATTAAGAGCTCAGGTCAGTAAGATAAGAAGGGATAAAAAGTCCATGGTAGGGGATAGTGGTAGCTGGTGAGGCCAGATGAGAAATAGAGGTATATTAGCTGATTTCCTCAAAGTTGTTCACATTAAGTCTTCTGAAGAAGTAGAGGAAAATGAGCAATGAGATGCACCAAAGGAGAAAAATCTATAGAGAGGACAAATGGAAAGCCATGGAAATCACTATTTACGCGGAACAATGAGACAGGCCGTATTACTCTTTGACTCTAGGTGAGATTTATATTATTAATGACGCTGTTTCTATAGTGCCTGTTTTTCTTTGCTTAGTGAATTTAAGCACTTATGAAAAAGAGAGTCATGCCTAGTGAAAGCAGACACATAATAACTTTCTGTGATATACTATCAACAAATCCGTGTAAAGAAGAAAACAAACTGCTAGGACTGATTGGCACCGCCAAACTCTTTGTCCAAAGCAGCTTTGAACTTCTTGGTCTGATTTTCAGAGGTACCAGACTATATGGCCTATGGCCACTCCGTTTCCTTGCTATATTTCTATAGAATATTTATTTTGACATTTTAATAATGCTCAGTTTTGAGAATAAAGCTATCTATGCTGTTTAATTGGGCAATGGTTTCTATGCCCTGAGAATCATTTAAATGAACTCTTTTGTATC